AGTTTTTGAATACCCAGAATGGCTGGCTAATATGGCTCCTGTAGCAAAGAAAGACGAGCGTGTCAGAGTATGTGTGGATTTTAGGGATCTCAATAAGGCCTCGCCAAAAGACGACTTTCCTCTCCCACACATTGATGTTTTGGTAGACAGCGCTACAATAGCCAGAATGTTCTCCTTTGCCGATGGTTTTTCTGGGTACAATCAGATATTGATGAGCGAACAGGATAAGACCAAGACAGCTTTCATCACAAAGTGGGGCACCTACTGCTGCAGGGTCATGCCTTTTGGACTCAAAAACACTGGGGCAACCTATCAGCGGGTAGTGACTGCTCTGTTGCATGACATGATCCATAAAGAGGTAGAGGTTTATATTGATGATATGCTAATCAAATTCGAGACTAGAGAAGCACATGCTGAAGTCCTAGACAGATTCCTGATACGAGTGGAGAAGTACAATCTGAGGTTGAACCCGAAGAAGTGCACAGTTGGGGTAACTTCTGAAAAACTCCTGGGGCACATCATTAGTGAAAAAGGGATAAAAATGGATCCTGATAAGGCCAAAGCCATACAGGAAATGCCGATTCCCAAGACCGAGAAGGAAGTCTGCTCATTCCTAGGATCACTCCAGTATGTTAGCTGTTTTATAGCCAGACTCACCCCCATTTGTGAATCCATTTTCAAACTTTTGAGAAAAGATTAACCCTTGCACTGGAACCACCAATGCCAAATTGCCTTCGACAAGACAAGCTAAAACGTACCTCCAAAATCCACCGATCCTCAAACCACCTCAGCCCGAAAAACCACTGACCCTCTACTTAGCCTTAGAAGAGCGGGCCATAGGCGCCATGCTAGTGCAGGAAGATGAGCAAAAGAGAGAGTTCCCGATGTATTATCTCAGTAAGAGTCTCCTAGAATCTAAAACCTGATACTCCCAGGTAGAGAAGACTTGTGCAGCCATGGTTTGGTTGACGAAGAAGCTCCGACACAATTTCCAATCATACAAGGTGATGGTAGTCTCTAAGGTAAACCCGATCAAGTATTTGGGTACAACGCCAAGTCTGGTTGGTAAGTTAGCCCGATGGTTGCTTCTGTTATCTAAATTCAACATTGAGTGTGACGCCCCGTTCGTTTGCGAATAATTTGGATTATTGTTATTATTATTGTTA